CACTTGGTTGAATAACATCTACCTGGGAAGAATCTGGCTGGTAGCTAAAAGAAATTCCTTGAGGAGAAACCGTCGTCGGAGTAAAGCCAGGTCGATTGATGAATTGGGGCTGGGAACCAATTATTTGAGGAGTGGTTGAACCAGGAATTACACTGCCTTGTTTATTGAAAGTTTCCTGATATTGTGGTACACCTGTGTAGGATCCTTGTTGTTGATTTATTGATTGGACATCTGGTTGAGAAATGTTTGAACCAGGAAGAACGTTGCTATATTGAGGATATGAACCAGGCTGAGGTACTGTAGTGGATGGTGGATAAGCTGGGGCTTGTTGTCCTCTAAACCCAGGCTGTTGTCCTCTTAACTGTTGAGGAAGATTCGATCCAGGAATCATTTGTACGTTATTGAAGATCTGAGGGGATGTGGCGGGCTGCATAGGGCCTGGTTGACCGCCGAATATAGGACGTTGTCCACCCAATTCCTGAGAACTTGAAGATACAATATTTCCTCGGTCATCTGTTACAAGTTGAACGTCGGGTTGAATCGTATATTGCAAATTTTGAGGACGTTGACCTCCAATTTGTTGTAAAGCTTCAGGTGCAGCGGGACGTTGGACAGCGTTTCCAAAATAAGTTGGAGTAGGACCAGGTCGATAATTTTGAGACACATCCTGAGGAGCAAGAGACGATGAAACAACTTCTTGACCAAACTGCCTAGGAGGTTGAACTCCCAAATGTTGAGTATAACCTTGATCAAAGGGTGGTTTTGTTAATCCAGACGGACTTCCAGCAATCGGTGATATAGTAGTACTAAATGTTTGACCAGGTATATTTTGAACTTTGCTAGGCTGACTGTACCCAGGCTGACCTATAAAGGTTTGAGCAGGAGTTTGATATCCAGGACGCTGGACTGTATCGAGAGTCGGTACACCAGGACGTTGTACTATTTGAGAACCAGGCTGGATATATGCAGGACCTGATGGCTGAGAATAACCTTGATTTTTATTGGCAGGCGTATAAACACCACTTTGAATGTCACGAGAAATATCTGATGGAAACCCAGTTGGACCAATAGCATTCACAATACTTTCAAATCCTTGAGGAAGAGGAGTTGTTGTCTGTGTAAAAGCATAAGTTGTCGTTGGAGTGGGTACTTTGTTTTGCAAATCACCAAAAGGCGTTTTGGGACCCGGAGTTATTGGCACCAAATCGGAAGATCCTGGTGAGATATTTGGTAGTCCCACTCCTATCGTTGGTTGTCTGTTGTCAGCAGATATAAATCCATCTTCTTTTTGTCCAGGTATCAAAGGCCGTACAGTAGTAGAATAAGTTTGTTTTGGGAATTCTAAAGGAACTTGAAGTGCTCCATCGCTGCCTCCAGCGATTTTGGATCCAGGTGGTGGAAGGTACGTCCTATCTAGCTTATCCGAAGATGCTAGCGCCAAGGCTAGAAGAAGCTGCAAATAAAAAATATCCAAATAAACTTTTTGCTCGGAAGACAAGTGTTACGTAGTAACAATTGTTCTAGATATGAAATCTTTCGATGTAGTCACAGAGAACAAAAGTATCTTATTGCTCTGTAATGAGATCAATAAAAACTATTGTTAAACACTATTGTCACAACACTTTCACTTATATGTACACCAATAATGAATAAAAACCCACCATTAGACTCTTCATCTCGATGTATTCACTTCAGGATCCACTTGAGATGTGTGTTTTCTTCGATACAAAAATGTTATTTATACCATCCTTAAAATTAACCTCTAACGTCCGTACGTGTACACGTGACAGACATCCAATCGTGACAGAAACCCTAATTGTTGCTGTCAAAGGCCTAAACAAGTTATTAGGTGTGTTTATTTTATGATTTCATAATTTTATTGTTCATCACTGGTCCAGAGTTGTGGTTTTTGGAACCTTGACATTTTATGGGTACCCATTGCAATTATTGGTGACAAACGTTGAGGAATTAACCCTGAACGAGACGTATTAACGTCTAATAGTGACAATAATTATACTATTTAAAGAACAGGTATTATTTCTATTTTCAATAATAATAGTTTTATTAAATTTGTTCTTTACAACAAATACATTCTTTAAGGCTTTGTTTCTTTATAGTTCCTTACATTTAACCACCTTTTATTCAAAAAATTCCAAGATGAACTTCTCTTGTACAAAAAATCGATTGCTGGCACCACTAATCTTATCGAATCATTTAAATGATGAGGAATTTCATAATGAAATCTACATATTGTGAATTTTGAACTCACATTAGGACAGCGTGGTGGACGATGACCGAAATGTGCGACATAAATATATAATGAAATGTGCGACATAATAATAATACATAAATAATAAAAAACATTCAATATCAAAATAACCACTTTATGAATCTGAGCTGATGAGTGCGTTATACTTTCGAACATTAAGAATATTTCTTAATGTTGAAAAATATAACAAATCCATTAACACTTTTTATCTTATTAACGTTAGCTACAATATTCTTTCACCATATTTTTTTTCTATAAATGTTTTGATTATCTCAATCGAAATCTTTTTATTGTTCTCTCTTAACTTCTCATAATAAATCATCAATCGATTATTATTGGAGTAGCAAAAGCATTATCTACCCCTTTACCTTCACCCGTCAATATTTTAAAATTTTAATTACTCTTTATGAGATCTATTTTACATTGAGTCATATAGAGGCCATGTGGAACACGAAAGGATCGATTTGATGGGTAATCCATTATAATCTTAAAATCTGATGGATGGGCAATTTTAATTACGATAAAGGAAGATTTATGCTAACTACATAAAAAGAAATACGGCTTGAAATCTACCGAGATAGTGCCACTTGTGTTTTGGATTATCTCTTATGTGTTACAAAATGTTAATTTCGTAATCTCAGGTAAGAAAGACAGGTTCAATATTCAAAGCCCAAATCAAAAAGGAGATATATAATGTTTTAATTCGGCAAGAAAACTAATAACAGAGATACGAATTTGTTAATTTATTTAGTTATTTTCAATATAGTTTCGTAGCTACTCTTCTTTTGGCGTACTCGTCTATTTCGAAATTGTGAAATATGTCACAAGAATCAGTACACAATTTAAAGCATACAGATATTATATTTTAGACTTACTTCATAATCTTTTTTTTGTCGCAAATTCCGATTATGGAATTCAAAAATTTCAATTTCAAATTCAAAGTATTTTGCATTTTACAATGCCTTCTTTCTACAGTCAATATATCATCTTTTTAATTATTCATGTTGTTGAGATCTACTTTAGTCTATCTTGTAACGAGGTCAAGCGGCACACGAATGGAATCATCTGTGCAATGTCTATCTACGATAGCAATAGCATTGTCTTTTGATAATTGCTTTCGTGAGCCATGAACTGTGAACTTGGATTTAAGGGCAAGTGTGTTACATTTTTGACTTTACAATTTATTTACTTGTAGGTAAAGGTGAGATTTGTATAATAAATAAAAAAATAGATAATATCATTCATTTTTATTTAGCGTATAAAAGAGGTACTGATATTTTTGTTACTGTTTTATTTTTGTAAAATTTTAACATTTTTTACGTAAAAATATTGGATCACGGTCATGTACTATTTTTTTTTATAGTACTAAACGACGAGACGAAGAAGTTATGTGCCTGGTGATAAGGGACAAACCTTCCCGTTACAGTTGAAGTGTCACTCAGAGCTTTTAATCGCAAAGATCGTAGGAGTACTCTCAGGGTGACGGACACGGGCCCGGTGATATAAGATGAGATAAAGTGATAAGTCCCATATGCCTGTAATTTCACCAGAACCCTTACCCTTCGAAACCGGAACGCAGTAATGCTCACATTACTGCTTGACGGCTGAAATAGGTAAGGTGGCAGTACTTCCTTAGACGAACTCTTTCACAAGGAGCTCTACTGCTACCAAGACATATACGAACTCTCACAATTGATAATACAAATTGAAACTTTATGTTAATAATATGAGGTTTCACTTCCAATAAGGACTTTTAGATTATTATACATCAGCTTGTGGCTCTGTGTAAAAATGTAGACGCTCAACTATAACATTTTTGAATAAAATCTAATTCCATAAAAGTTATAGTCGATGTAGGATCTTCGTCTTAACAAACAATCAATGAAGCCACCCACAAAGTTATAAAAGATTTAAATAATAGAGATGTATCATTATTAAGTGACCGTCACTCAATGTTACAATACGTTATGTAAGTAAAACAAATTACAACTTTGAAGACATTGGTATAAGGAATGCTATTTATAGAATATAATATTTCGCACTCTGAAAATGGCAACTTTTCAGGAATGAAGTGTTAAAAATCAAGGAAATTAGTTGATAAGTTTTTATGCTTGTGTTTGAATAGGTGAGTTCAAATATACAAATTTTGTTTCATGTAGTTTGTGCTATTTTTACGAGTTTCGTGTGAAAAATTTGCTATTGACGTTTGACCATTATGTAGCTTTCTTATTGACAGACTTCAAAAAAGGAGGTTCCTAATTCGACTGTTTTTTTTATATATATGTTACGCGATAACCGATTTTGATGATTATTTTTTTATTGGGAATAAGATACCTCCGTAATAGTCCCATTTAAATTAAAGGAAAGGAAGGAAATTTAAATGTAAGGGATGAATCTGGTTTCACGCACTTTCCGGTACCCGATTTCAATAAAACTTGGCAAGTAGATTAGATTATTGGAGTAAATTGAGTGTGTGCGTTATTTATTATTTATTTATTATAAATTTTAACGTCGGTTAAAAACCTTGCTAACCTTAAATCTTTTAACTAGGCATAAAAATGTGTGTTATTTGCTTTACGAAGCTCTTTTGTGTTTATAAGTTTTATTGAAACAATTACCAATTGGTGAGTTTTGTTGTTAATGGGAAATAATATATGAGTTTGATATCAAAATACAGAATGATGAAAATAAATTTTATTCAAATATATTATATACTAAAGTAAATATGTCTCTAATATTGGTATCCGTTTCTTTCATTGAAGCTTGGTTGTCTACGTCCAAAGCTCGGAGATCTTTGGTTGCTGGGAGGGAGGTAGGCATTGGTCACTCCGTTTATAGCACCCTGGTTTCCAAATCTTCGGTTCTGGCCATTATAAGCTGGGCCTTGACTACCCTGGTTCTGTTCGTTCCTTCGAAAAGGTGGCAGATAAGCCTTTTGTACCTCATTGCCACCCTGGTAACTTTGATTCCTAGTAGCCTGGTTATAGTTGCCAGCTGGATTGAAACCTTGGTTTCTTAAGGCTTGATTTTGGTAATTACCAACCTGATTAAAGCCATTCGTTCCTTGATTGTTAAAAGCGTTGGTTGGTTGAGATCTTTCGAAAGGAGGTAGGTAATTATTGACAACTGTACCTTGGTTTCTATAGCCCTGGTTGGAAACTGAAGCTTGGTTTCTGACAGCAGGTCTGGCTCCAGATGGGAAAAGAGCATTAGTTGTAACAACACTGTCCTCGTCGTTTCCAATTTGTTCGTTATTGTAAGTGTTGCCAGCATTGTTGCTGTTGTAGTTGTAGCCGTCATTGTTATCGTTATAATTATTTCCATTGCCAAAATTGTTGTAATTTCCATTAGCAGCGCCGTATTTTTCTTCGTTGTAAGATCCTGTTTGAAAATTATTTAAACATTACCCAGAACAATATTATATTGTTTGCGACTTTTAAGTCTGTGTAGTAAACATTGTAAAAATGTTTGTTGAAGTTACTCTTAACCTATACAACTACCTTAATCTGTTACACGTACATGAAACGAATGTGTCTGTCTATACATACAAGTATGTGAATATTGTAAATGCTGCAATTAAACGTAATCAGGTATAGTTAAGATCATTGTTAGTTATAATGTTTGTAGATATAAAGCATAAATATTTAATTTGGGGTTGTTATTATAACATTAAGGCAATATATGTTCCAGTAAAGATGTAAGTTAGATTAAATTGAACAATCAAACATTTAAAAAAGATCTCCACCATAAGATACGGTACTTTCAATTATTTAATGACGTATGAATGACCAATGAAAACAATTGAAAGTTCGCAATAGAATTTTTGCTGCTCAATAATTTGACTAAATTGATTAAGAATCATTCACATTCGATTTAGAGAACTAATGGCCAAATAAAGTGAAGGCTAATGATACGATAATAATAAAAAACAATAAAAAACAAACAACACAATATTAATTTTTTGTGCCGGGTTATTGAAATAGAATGACCGAAATAAAAAAGAAATATATTGAAAAGAAAATATCATAGATAATAACAAAAATTAAACCTACTTTAAGAAAATATAATAAAGCGTTATTAGCATTCGCATAAAAAATAATGACAGCTGTATTATTAGTATTTTCCAATAATAAAAATGAGTTCACGGCAAAACTAAAAATGTTTTCGTTTTCCAATCGAAAAAACTCGATCCACAAACGAAATCTAAATCCACGATGCGCATTTACCTTAGCACATTTCCATGAGAGACTAGTTAAAAAATGTATGTAGTCATTAACATTAGTGCGGTAGAAGTTTTGAACTATTACAAATACACACCGTCATCATAAATCCCTGCAGCCTCGTCGCGAGCATTCTGTTCGAGAACTTTGAGTATCTCTTCAGGAATTGGGGGAGGAGTGGGAAGGTGATCGCCTTCAGGAACAAATCCATTGACTCCAGCTGTGTATCTGTGTGTTGTAAGACGAAATGAAATATTTTCAGTAGGCGTAACGCTATTTAAAATATAGTCAAGTCAGTAATTGCCGTCGTCGTTCACCAAAATAATAGTGATTTCTCCAGTAATGCATTGTAACTAAAACGATACGTGATTAAGTACAAATGTTAACTTACGCATTAAAATTTCAATTTACCCATCAAAACTTTAAATCACAATTATAATTTTGCCTACATTAAAAATCGTCTTCGCACACGGTGTAATAGTAGTTCACTTTTCTTTTAAATATAAAATTTCTTACTTATGATATTATTAAATATCTTACCTAACAGTGTACACCTGTCCATCATCACCGGTATAAGAATAACCACCCTGAGCTTCAACTCCATTAGTCGCCACTCCATTCTCTTCAGCAACAATTCCATTTTCAGTTTCATAAGCATAAGCGTAAGATTCTCCATCATTCTGGTTATCTAGGCGAAGTATAGCAGCATTCCTGTCTAAAGAAGCCCTAGGACGTTCAGGTCTTGCTTCATTGTTGCCAAAGTTGTTGTAACCATTGTTGTTTTGAGCATAATTGTCGTTTTGAACGAAATTATTATCATTCTGAACATAACCATCAGCATTCTGTTCGAAACCAGCAGCGTTTTGTCCATAATTACCATTTTTCTGGTAGTTATTAGCTCGTCCAATGTTACCAACTGCTCCATTGTTGAATCCAGCATTTCTTTGATAATTATTCACAGGAGTTTGAAGAAAGTTACCAGAGCCGCCAGAGGTTGCAGCATGGTTTGGAGGGAGGTAAGCTCTGTCTAATTTAGCTGCATTACAGCAGGTGACCACCGCCAGTACAAGTAGCTGAAATAGAATACAAATTTTAAATCAATTGTAACATTTTTCTAATTTTTAATTATATGAAAGTCAAGTACGCAATAGCTATAAAACTATGATTTCATGAACTATTTACAGAGTATAAAATGGAAGGTAATTTTGAGGCACCAAGTTTCAGGGACAGCGCCCTAAGCGCAATTATGCTCATGAGGCTGAGAAAAATTGTGTTCCTAAATGAAATTGAACATTTTTATAAAAACTTTAACACATTGGGATTATTCAAAGAAATTTGAGAAGGTCTTGAGGCTAAAAGAGGAACAGCGATAGCTTTAACAAAAATTTAGGAACTTTCAAAATATTTCCTAAGTTCAGATCAAAAATTTCAATGAAATAAATATTCCAGAGCAAGTTTAATAGAAGCCTTAATATTACTATGCTTTTTCAAGTTGTTCGGTTAAACTTAACCGTAGCTTTCGAAAAAGAACACCGTGTAACAAACATCTCTTGTATCATCACATTCACAAACACTAACAAACACAATCAAATGACCTTCTGTTTTCACTTCTAATAACAATGCTCTATATATTTCGATATGTATAATTTACATGTATATTTAAGGTATCTACATACCAGTTTCATTTTTACACAAGCTACTAGTACGAAATCTCAAACTTAACTGATAAACTTTGATACCTTGTTCAATATTTATACTTGCCTACTGTATCGATCTACTTTAGGAGATGGGCTATTCAAAATCGTGGTTTGTAGTTGCCTAATCAAAATATGATACACGAACGGTCTCGTCTAATTGTTGTGGAAGAACTTATGCGATATGAGGAACGTGACTCTGATTTAGTTTTAAGAATTTGCTGAAATTTACGTTTAAAAATGATTGATTAAGATTTATAAATGATAAGCAGTACAGGTGTTTTTGTATCTGTTGCTGTAAATAATAGCTCTTAGCTATGTTTCTAAAAGATAGATATTTAAGATAATTAAGTTCAATATTGCTAATACTTGTTACTACAAAAGTTTACTTTTTCTAATATTATTTTGCTCATTATAATTCCTTTCATTAATTGGGTCAGACTGAATAGATAATTATATTAATGTGTTGGACATTTTAATTTACTATTAGGTCAGGATTTTAGTCCAATGTTTCATTGTTCTATGTAAATGCACGTTAAAAATAGTAGGTAAATAATGCACAGATACTTCACTAAAACATAAAACTATATTAACATGTAATTGAATACAGATAAAGTGACTGGTGCTCTCTCGCATATCACAGTAATTTGGCGCATAAATCCTCCATGAATGCTCATATTAACCGCGCATGGGCGCGATGCTCCATATATCATCGACCTTGTCTGCGTACATTCCAATCTTGCGCATCTTTAGGGTCAGACAAGCAATCGCTTACGTTTTTCGGATGTCGATCAGATGGGCGGGCGGTCCAATATAATCCATCAATGAACGAGACGCAGAAAACGTTCTTATTTTGTTAGTGAAGATAGGTTCAGGGTATTTATTCTTGGGTATTTTGAACATATTTAGAAAACCGGAAGAGAACCACACTAAAAGTTTTCTCAACAGAATTGTCGATCTTGGTTAGTTACAGCAGCAGACACTTAATGATGAGCTAGAAATGGACGACATTCATGACGTGTACTGAAAGGGAGAAAGTAGCTGGAAATCAACTACCAATAACCGCAAAGAACCGTTTTCGATGAGACATTTACTCAGCAATTTAATCCTCTATAGTGAAGAAGAAGGCAAATTCATTATTCTAGTGTATTTAATTAAGATAATATACAGGTAAGGTAAAAAAGACAATAAATGCTAACTACTAGAAAGTAAAACTAGGATTTTTAAATTATATGAATTAAATTGGGTCCCCGCGGCAAGGTGCTCAAGATGCTGGCAGCGTTCCCCCTTTGTATTGCTATGCTAATGCGTTGGGCAAGGTAGCTGCCGGCCCTTGGATTTCCCAGACAGTAAATTCATTTTTTCCATAAAATTTTGTACAGATGAAGGGCACTGGGACCCCACGAGCCAAGGGTTTCGACACCAAAAGCTGTAAATAGGTAATCAGAGCCGAGATCCTGGTACTTATTACTTTTTATTCTTTCCGCCAGCTCAGCTGCGGAGCCAGCCCTCTTGCTGGTGTGCTGGAAATGGGATGGGGCAAGTGTGTCGGCACATGTGGTGTCCCACACCAGTGCCCGGCCCATACTCTAAGGGATGAGAGTCATTCAGTATTCTAGTTGTAAACATACAAAGAGAAAATATTGAGAAGGTGCGAACTAGGGAACGACCAAGAATGGGATACACAGATCAGATATGAATAAAGGTGAAAATGTGGGATCGTACAGGTAACTTAGGGCAGAGACATAGATATATTATATTAATTTCAACCGTTTTTAGTTTTGTTTCGAAGTAATTAATTAATTAAATACGCTTGATTGATGTTTTCCCGTTTACTTACTTGCTTCAAGCAAATTAACTTCAAATTGTCTACAATAATAATAAAGTGCCAGACAATAGTTACAAAAATTATCTGATCTAACCTGGGGCATTTCGTGTACTTTGAGTACCTTTGACTCCATTCCATCCACTCGCCTTCTTGTAGACATGTTTTTACCTTTTTTTTTCTGCCGCCAAGCACTGATGTCAACATTACTGCGTTCCAGTGGTGCTGGTGAATCAGGCGAGATAAGATGGGACTTGTCAATTTATGTCTCAGGCTGACGGGCGCAGTGGCAGTGCCCCTCAGATCTTTGCGATTTTAAGCTCTGAGTGGCACAGCAACTGTTATGGACAGACCTGTTGTTTACCATCAGGCGCACGACTTGTTCGTCCCGTCACGTGATATTATAAAAAAAATGTCCGGCCCACTGTCAATTAAGCTTACTGATTTTTGCGATAATTTCTCATCATAATCTCTCATTATTTTTATGTATTTAATAAAAGCACTTTTGACGTATGACTAGTGGCATTATTATTCCAAGGCAGTTATTTATATAATGACAAAAGCAAGCTTTTAAATGAAAACAAAAGAAAAGATTATGAACGAATTACAAAATAAAATGTGCACTAAGAATGCTCATAATTCATCTCGCTATAGAAACATCTATTGATATTACGAAATTTATACCCACTCTAGGTATCAAATTACCTCTTAACTATGATATCCATCCTTGGTTGTTTATTATTGAGAAGGTGATATCATATTCTTGTATCAGTACATTGAAAAGTTCAATTTAGCGTACTTAACCTTATACAAAGGTTAAAATGTAGATTATCTGGGAAAGGTTTATAGCTCACCAGAAAGGATAAAATTTAAGGTGTGATTTTATTCTAAATAATATAATAAACAGGACTCTTAACGCACACACGCACACACTCATAGCCCTGGACCAGAAATTACCTGTATCGCCGGTACCATGGACCCATATATAGAAAACCACAAATCACACCCAGAGTCGTATTCTAGAACTCTACTCAATGCTCAAGTCAGGATCTGAGTATGGTTTAAAGCACTCGAAATCATACTCAAGTCCCTGCCATTAGGGTCGTATTTCGCCACGAGTCATATGTCAAAAGTGCTTTTATGAAATACATAAAAATAATGTGACAAACTATATAGCTCGCAAAAATCAGTAAGCTTAAGTGACAGTGGGCCGGACTTTTTTTTTATAATATCAAGTGACGGGACGAACAAGTCGTGCGCCTGATGATAAGCTACACGTCCATCCATAACAGTTGCAGTGCCACTCAGAGCTTTAAATCGCAAAGATCTGAGGGGCACTGCCACTGCGTCCGTCACTTTGAGATATAAGTTGACAAGTCCCATGTCCCCGTAATTTCACCAGCACCCTTACTCTTCAAAACCGGAACACAGTAATGTTACCATTACTGCTTGGCGGCAGATATAGGTAAGGACATGTCTGCAGGAGGGCGAGTAGTCGATGGAGTCAAAGGTTCTCAAAGTACACGGAATGCCCTACTTTGAGATCAGGTAATTGGTGTAATTTTCTGGCACTTTTGAAGATATTTTGCTAGAAGCTAGTAGGTAAAGGGAAAACATCACTCAAGCGTATTTTATTTATTCATTAACACGTTCAGACTGGGAACCAAATTACCATTATTTGTCCGGCGGGAAAGATTCTCACATGACCACCGGTGCGGTGGTATATCATCGCCCCATCAACCAAAAAATGTACCGGGGCGGGGTGCGCCACCGGAGGATACGATGAAATTATGCTTCATCTCTTTCTGATTAACATATTATTTTAAGTTTTTTTTTGCCATTTCCTACTGTTGTAATACAATTCATCAGAAATAATTTGCTATGTTTATTCTGGTTTTACATTTCTCGTTCTTTTCGCAAATAAATACTTTTTTAACCTTGATTTTTTTTTTCTTTACTGTCTTACACAATATCAATCTCCTGATCTACACTATGGAAATTTGACTGTTGACGCACAGGGCGGGAACGCTAAATTTAGCACATTCTCTCAAGACGGCGTGGGTTTCTTACTATACCAAAAGTCAAGTGTTGTGTGACCACCGGTGATACACTACGCCTGATAGACAGTGCTTCACCGGTGATACACATATCAAATATAATATTGCACGATAAAAAATCGAATACTTCAATAATAAAAATTGCCATGAAAATAAGTGAATACTAGTCCGAGAATGACCAACTCAACATTTTTTTTATACCATGTGACGGGATGAACAAACAAGTCGTGCACCTGGTAGTAAACGACATGCCTAACCCATAACACTTGCAGTGCCACTCAAGTTTAATCGCAAAGATCTGTGAGGCACTGCTACTGCGCCTGTCATCCTAAGACATAAGTTGAAAAGTCCCATGTGCCTGTAATTTCACCAGCAATGCTCGCATTACTGATAATAGCAGAAAGCAATAATCGGTATGGGTAATTTTAGATGGTTTTAGTAAAACATCTTAATCTTCCGTGGCCAACGCATTAGCATAGCAATACAAAGGGGGAACGCTGCCAGCATTTTGGGCACCTTGCCGCGGGGACAAAATTTTATCCAAGTACCTAATTTAAAAATCCTAATTTTACTTTCTAGTATTTAAGCTTTATCTAGTTGTCTTTTTTACCTTACCTGTACATTTGAAAAATGTTAATGTTAATATTATATGTTCTATTTAGTTCAGTTGATATAAAAATATCATTGGTATATGTAAAGCACCTATAATAAGGCGGTTTTCATCCGTGAAGATCTATTTCTTTACAATCGATAAAATACGGTTTTAATTAGATTAGTATTTTGAGATTAAAAACCTTCAAATGGCATTGTTTTGTTTGTTAGGTCTAGATTATAAGTACCACTTATCTTGACATCTCAATACCAAACATAACACACCAAAGCATCCGAATAGATTTGATATCTTCCGACTGGTTTAAAAAGTTCGTGAGGACCTCAAAGTGATATAGGTCATGTCAAAACTCATTATTACAATGCACGAGTTCGTTAAACTCGTTTTTCTACTCCTGTACTTAAATCTGTCAATTATCATTTTATAAATCATATCACAAAGGCGCTCTTTTTAGTTCAGAATCAAAATTGTATTGTTTAAGAGGGAGCAGAGGAAAAAT